CTGTTAAAGTCAAAAATCAAGTCATTCAATTAATAAAGACTAAATTTCTATTTACCATGGTCCGTTAACAATTCATTCATTAATGTTCAACTTTATTAGTGAATAAATTCATATCCTTGATTAAACAATAAATGTTTTATGACCAATGTTAGCTAAAAATGATAGATCCTTTCTTACTTCTTAAATACTTATACTATTTTCTATAACTTAAAACTAATGATATTATGATTTATGCCAGCCTTTTATTCAATTTTAATAAATTTTAAAAAGGGGGAAACAGGACCCCATATGCAAACACCAGATCTTACAAATATTTATAAAAATTTTTCTTAATTGTGATATTGAGAATCTTATTGCTTCTGAATATGATTTGGTAAGTTAAATCAAATTTCAAAAGATAGAATTTAAACTGGTCATCGTGGAAAGGCTGAAAACTCTGAATCAGGAAGGTAAATCTCCCAGCTGCAGAATTTATAATCATGCAGCGTCACTAGCTTGTCAGGTAAGTAATAATTATGAAGAGACTTCTGTGGACCCATCTCTCAGGTCCACCTTTTTTTTTTAAGAGAGAGAAAATTTTTTAATATTTATTTTTTAGTTTTCTGTGGACACAACATCTTTTATTTTATTTTTATGTGGTGCTGAGGATCGAACCCAGTGCCCTGCGCATGCCAAGTGAGCGTGCTACCGCTTGAGCCACATCCCCAGCCCCTCAGATCCACCTTTAATGTGCTTTGCAGTGTGGACTGGAAAGTTCACCCATGTAACTAGATTAACTGTACTGACTATAATGGTCAGTTTTATCTATATGTTGATCCTATGGTAAACAGGCTGTCTAGGAGTATCTTTTGAAATAAAGACAGCATATGACAAACCTAAACCAGCCATGGTCCTTAGAATTTAAGACTATATTTACATATCTAAACAATTGTCAAAATAGAAAGATTGTTGAAATAGAACTTTTCTATACAAGCCAGTTATTTACACACTGCCCTCTTAGAATTGACAAAAGCAATTACATCAGGGTGCCATAACTCCTAGAAGTTTCACCCTCAGTGAGATGGCACCCAGGAGGATGTTTGATGCTTAACTTCTGCCTCAGAATTTTTGCATTACTGACAGACTTAAGAAACTCCTTAAATGTGGGAATTAAGAGAAAGGGTGATAAATATCCTAACCTATAAAAAAAATGCAACTTGCCTATTTGTATCACTAGTTATACTAGAGGAAAAGGACAGGATCCTTCAACAACATTCCTTTGTCCTATTGTCAGCAAGCATTTCACAACCATGGCGTGCTGAAATTAACATTCAGACTTGAAACAGGTGTATTCCAGATAACCAGACCTAGGCAATCTCTTGATCTCTTGATCCTTGAAATGACTACTTTAAATTTATTTATTGTTTCTACAATTACATTGTTGATACAATAGCCTTTATGGCTATGTTTTAAAACTTACAACATGTGGATTTTCTTAATATTTGACTTAAATTACTTCTAAGATCCTCCATAATCAGATAAGTGCTGATGGAAGGATTGGAACTAAGTTGAACACTCTAGAAGCTACTGTAATGAATAATGCAAATGAGCTCTCTGCTCTATGGTTTTAGGAAAGGCTTGAATGCCATGCTACCTATAAATATGTCAGTGTTACTATATTCAAATACAAAGTTCTCTAATAAAAATGGGAAAAGATTAAAAATCTTCTAATGAGTGTTTGGCAGAGTAATAATAATAACTGGGATCTTTTCAAGTTTATTCAATGACTTTAATCCTAAAAATAAGCTGAAACACTCTATATGGTATGTTATTGAAATGATATGTTTTCTACTCATTCTTTTAGTATCTCACTAGTAGGTCATGATGACCTCAGACCAAGAATACAGTGACTGGAAGACATAATTCCCAATTGCCTTTATAAGTTGAGAAAGGTGGAAATGTGGTGAGCCAGCCACGGGCTCTGTGTGTGTGACCTATGAGCATGAGTACATGAGTGGACTGGACTGATGATGCCTCTCTGTTTGGGCTGGCGACATATGTGTCTTTTTCGCTCACTCTGCCAATGATCCCCACACAGCACATGAGATGGGCATGGCCTTCCAAGATGTCAGTCAATTTGCTGACCACAAGACGTCACGAAGCTAGACTTAACCCCCTGAAACCTGACCTTCTCATTGGGGTGAAACTTTCTCCAGTGTCGTCCCCTCAATAAAAGGGGCTTCAGAATGTCCTTTTCCTCTTTTTTGTCTGCCTCCCTTATGGGAGCTGGAAGAGAAGGGCTGTCACTGAAGAATCCCAAGAAAAAGGTATTTTTTCTGTCTCTGTATGATTATTTCGTGCCAGCCCAGTTCACCTGGAGTGATCCTGAATGACTTAGTCATGTGTCCTGACATCACCCTTTTCTAACCCCTAATGAACTATTGGATCTTGGTATTGAAAAATCTTTCAGTTAGGGAGACAGTAGCACTTATGGGCCTCATTATGGAAGAACACAACCTGGCCTGTGAGGTAATTTTTAAAAATCTTAATCTCATCAAGGCTTAATTTAGCAGAGTGGCTCTAGACTGTGAAGGAGAGGCAATTTTGGCCCCAAGTTGATATTTGTCAGTGTCAGGAGACATATTTGATATTCACATCTTCAGCCTGTGTGAATACTGCTGACATCTAGCAGGTCGAGGCCAGAGCTGCTGCCAACCATCCTACAATATCCAGGACAGCCATGCAATAATAAAACATTACCTGACCTCAAATTTCAATAGCGTTGAGGTTAAGCAGCCACAAATTCCAAGAAGCATGAAGGGGAGGGGACAATGACTAGTCATACCATGGAAATGAGCAAAATCCCAATGATCTAAAACTCCAGCATTAACAATGCAGTTTCTTTAACAACAATAAAACATTTGGGAGGTGGTATCAGGAAGAAAATGAGAACAGGAAGAGGGACCTATAGACCTAAGGAGAGAAAAACACACCAATTAATGAAAGTTATAGATTATCTGATTCCCAGTTTGAATAGTTTGATGTTTATAAGGCAATTGGATTTTTGAGCATTGAATGGATATTTACATTAAGGAAGTTTTGGATATTATAATGGTGGTGTTAAGTCAAGAAAGAGACTGTTTTGGAAGTCCATCCTGAAATACTCATGGGTAAACTATGTGATGCCTGAGATTTGTTTCTAATTGTATGGCTAGAGGTACAGGTGAAACAAGATTTGCTCTGTATTGATAATAGTTGAAACTGAGTGTCAAGTACAAAGGGGCTCATTAAACTATTCTACATTGTATATATTTCAATTTTTTCCACACTGGAGTGGAGAGGCAGTGCATAGAAGTTGACTTCAAATCTTATTCCCTGGTGACTAGGAGAACTTCGTTTGTTTGATATTTATTGGCTCAGAAAAGTCAGAGGGATGTATTTTAGTTTGAAATTATTGCATTTTATGTAAGAGATTATCCAAGGAACAATTCAAGGGGACAAGTGGAAATAAACTCTTAAATTCCAGTTCAGAAAAATCTTGTTAAAATGAAGTCAAATTCAGTGGATCTAGGGGAAGAACTTGAGATTCTGCATTTGTAGGAGATGCCGATGCTGCTTTCTAAACCAAAGTCTGAATTGCAAGGCTGTAGATAACAATTCTTACAAATAAAAAGCTTAGATTTCAGCTCAAGCAGAAGGAAATGGATCTGATTAGATTCTAACTGTGGTAGATGGGTTCAACCCTCTGAATACCAGCCATGCTGACAGTTCAGATTAACAAATGAGAGATCTTAGCAGGGCTTCTGTGAAAGTAAATAGGATGGCATTCACTTGTGTTCAGAGACCAAAACCAAAACTGACCATATTTGTTGAATACAAACTAAAAGAAAAGCAGTTAGCTAGAAAAGCATAGCACACTTATTTGCTTGTTCTCTTCTCAAGAAGGTAGAATACATAAAACATCAGAGTCCTTAAATGGTTATACTACCATGAACACTTGTCACCAACTAGTCACTGAGATCCTCGTGTCAATTTAGTGGAGGCTGCCATTGAAATATTCAAATAAAGGCCCCTAAAGAATTCTCTCTGAGGAATATCTGGTTTCTACTTTAAAAAGGATAGAATTTAAAGCAAATAAGAAAGCTTTAGGCTTGCTGGCAAAGATAGAGGGACATAGCTGAATGTAAGCTATTCTTTATCTCAGTTACATTTTACTCAGTAAATGCTAACATAGCATGATAAATGGGAACCAAAAAGCTTAGTTACATAAAATATGAGGTCATGATTTTGGGTGTGTTAATAAAATATCTTAGGTAAAAGCTTGCTTTCTGGAAATTTTGAAAGTTTGGAGTCTTCTCTTTTTTTTTTTTTTTGAATCAACTAATGGCAGTTGCATATTCTGGTTTGTATATCAATGGGAATATGGGAATGTTACTGGATTCTTTAGTTGGCAGGACAGTGATGGTCATTGCAAAAAATAGTTTGGTTAGTTGGTGCCTGTTGGCTGAGATCCAAGGAAATGAGGGAAGAATAATAGCAATGATAGAGTGTACTGTTTATGTCTTAACTTCCTGAATCAGGAGTGCCTATTGCTTCCCAACCTACCCTTCTCTTTCTCTCCATGGGAGGTAAAAGTGAACTGACCTCAGTTCAGTTTACATCCCAGCGGGCTTTCTCCTTGGGTTAAACATGCAAAAGAGCAAGTGGTATGCCCACTGTGCACACGGAGAGGCTGAGCTTCACTGACAATAGCCATTGTCAATGGCAATTGAAAGTAATTTACTTGGTATCAAACAGATGTAAGAAGAGTCAATATTCAACCCCAGTGCTGTCTTTTGACAGCATTCATGTTTCATGACTCCTAACTGAAGTATAGGAGAGAAACCAAATGAGAAGAACGGAAGAGAAATTTCACATCCCCAAGAATGTGTTCTCAGGTGTTTCAAGATAAACTTCCAAGTGAAAAAAAAAATTGAGTTTCTTTAAATTTGATAAAAGAACTCAAAATACCAAATGTGAAGTTTATGGATGCCAATTTATTTCTAAAGTCAAAATTACAGAAAGAAGCACTGGGTTTTATACATTGCAGAAAACTGTTTATGAGAAAGAAAAGCATTTTGGAAAAAGAAGTGAAAAACTTCTAAAATCCACAGCTATTCTTTGTCTTCTGACATCATAGAAACCATTTCATTGTAAACCTCTTGTGGAGCATTAATTGCCCAGATAAAGTCCAAGTGGTTGTAAGGAAGAATCTCCTTGTGGTAAATGAGATTGGAGAGTTTGGGAAGCAAAATGTTGACGTCGTGGGGGTCAGCCAAAATGTCATTGCCACCATTCCACACTGCAATCGGCACACTCATGGCTGTCACATTGTAGTAGGGAGGTGTGCGCTGAAAAAAAGATGAGAGAAAGAACCAGGGTTTAAGTGGCCATGCTATAGACCCAATGAGCATTCTTTGAGTAGATTGAGTAACATAACTGACTTGGTCACTTTCATCCACAAAGCAAAGCAGAAACAACATAGTTTGGATTGGTGCTTCTCAAATTAATGGGTGTGTGAATTACCTGGAAGATCTTGTTAAAATGAAGGTGAAGTCAGTAGATTTGGAGGAAGAGCTTAGGATTCTGCTTTTGTAGATGATTCTGATGCTGCTGGTCCTAACCATGATTTGAATTGCAAGATTTTGGTAATAATTCTTACAAATTAAAAACGCCAGATTTTAGTTCAAGCTGAACAAAAATTGATATGATTAGATTTTAACTCTGGTGGATTGTTTCTATACTCTGAAGTATGGTCTCAATGGGTCCTGAGGCTTTTACTTTGGCTTTGTATTGACTCCACAGTGCAGCTGGTGAATAGGTCAGTTCATTCCGTTTTGAAGCTGAATCTGTTGGGCACTTACTTGATTTTACTAAATATTGCTTTAAGCTCTGAAACAAAGTATCATCAGTGTCATTTCCTATTTTTAGAAAATCACCATTAACACAAAAAATTTTCAGGAGATTCATAAAATGGGAAGAAGTACAAGGGAATCACCTCCAATTTGCCCAAAACCTAGAAACAATTTTATTAGATTTTTGATAATATACTTTCAACAATATTAATCTAATATACAAAACTTACTCTAGTCTCACTTATGAAATAGCCAACTTGTCATAGCAATATGTTCATTGTGTGTAATTTGTTCTTGCATTTTAATCCTTTTAATTTTATTCCCCTGTATATTAGAGAAAAATATGGAGAATATCTATAATTTAAATTTATTTTCTTTTATTTATACCCCATTGTTCAAAGATTTTCTTAAATGCTACCTCTGGCTCTTAAATTAGCATCACTGCTTCAGTTAGTTCAAGACCAACATGAATTGTTATTGACTTGGTTGGAAGGAGGACAACCTTGTAGATTGGATATTCCAGGTCTCACTTGGCCCCCTAAGATGAGGTCCAGTATTAGGGCCCAGTAGAAAGATAAACTCAAAGCAAACTGTACTTTAGAGGTTTGAGAAGGTTATGGTTGGGGAAAAAGTGTTTTCAACAAAAGTTTGATCTGAGGATGGTATAAAAATCTCTTTAAAGACATCAAAGATGTAAAATTAAGTGGGGGATCTTCTTTACACATAAGATGGTGTTATAGAAACATATATGTCCCTTCTAAATTTGAGTCATGGAAAGAGATGAAAAACAGTAGAGTTGCTCAGTTACTTACTATCTAGGAGGAAAATTTGAGGATGGAGGCAGAGGAAGAAGAGAATTTTACAAAATCATGAAGGGTGCTTCCCTTGTTCAAAATTAGTCAGTGACAGTCTATCATGAGCTAAGGGACTATAGATATTATGCCAATAAATCTTGTCAATAACTTCCTAAATCTAGGTAGAGTGATGCAGAAGTTATTACAAAAATGTGTACTGACTACAGTTAAGATGAATTCCCAAGTCTGGGCCTTTGTATTACAGTAAGTGTGAAAACTGTTCAATATGTCTGTTTGTGGCTTGCTGAAAACTATTCCTTGCCTTGACTGTAAACATGCCATTTTTTCCTTCTGTATGGGAATGTGTTCCTGTGAAATAACTCCTCTGGCTGTCCACAAAGGGGAGGATATTGTTTGAGAAAAGTAAAGATTCCAGCTCTATCCCATGTATAGTTGGAATTGTTAATTTGCTATATAGGTTAGTTGTACTTTAGAAAGTGGGCTGAGACTGGGTTACAGAGCAGGCCACTGTAATGACAACAGGTGGTGCTGCATTCTAGATAGTGTCACATGTCCAGTGTGCTGCTCTGAGGGAAGTTTGAGCACAGCAGGAGTGCAGAGCCCTGTGGGAGAATAGGAGACTAGGCATCAACACTTCCCTTAAGAAACAGATGCTCAAATATCATAATTTTTTGTATATGTGAATAATCTCGACTTTAAGTTACTTACCTGATTATAGTGTTTCATGTTCTGAAATGGGCTTCCCCAGTCAAAAGCTTGAAATTTTCCAGACCTAGCAGCCTAATATAGAAAAATTGAAAACGTACACAAAAAAATCTCATTGCATGAAAAATTAAATTCAAACATTTCCAAGTAATTTATTTTCAGTTTAAACAACTATTAAAATATTTTTTATTCCAAATAAAATTATTAAGCATCTAGAATAGGGTCTGTATGCAAGTTTAAATGCAGTTTTGCTTGAAATAATTGTTCTTGCAAGCCCACTCACAAAAATCATTCTTTTTTTTTTTTTCTACTCAAACACCTGTTTTGTAAAGTTCCATTTCAAGTTTTCTGAGGAATATCCATACTGCTTTCCAGAGAGGTTGCACCAATTTGTAGTCCCACCAGCAATGTATGCATGAACCTTTCCCCCAACGTCCTCACCAAAAGTTATTGTTACTTGTTTTCTTGATAATTGCCATTCTGAATAGAGTGAGATGGAATCTCAGTGTAGTTTTATTTTGCATTTCTCTAGTTGCTAGAGATGTTGAACATTTTTTCATATATTTGTCAATCATTAGTATTTTTCTTCTATGAAGTGCCTGTTCATTTCCTTTGCTTACTTATTGATTGGGTTATTTGTTTTTTTGGTGTTAAGTTTTTTAGTTCTTTGCACAAAACTCAACTCAAAGTAGATCAAGGACATAGGCATTAGACCAGAGACCTTGTGCCTACTAGAAGAAAATATAGGCCCAACTCTCTGTCATGTTGGCTTTAGAACCAAATTCTTCAACAAAACTCCTAAAGAACAAGAAATAAAATCAAGAATAAATAAATAGGATGTATTCAGACTAAAAAAGCTTCTTCTCAGCAAAGAAAAAAGAAAAGAACATGCAGAAAGAGCCTACAGGATGGGAGAAAATCTTTGCCACGTGCACCTCAGAGCATTAATTTCCAAAATATACAAAAAAAAAAAAAAAAAAAAAAAAAACTAAAAAAAAACCCTCAACAGTAAAAAAACCAAATGACCAAAATGATAATTGAGCAGAATGTTTTAAGGTTGTGCTTTAGGTAAAGTGCAAAAAAGGTTCAGACCAACAAAATAAGTTTTAACAGAATTGGAGTAATGATACCTGGGCCCAGTGGAGGACGTCTTGAACAGAAGTTCCTGCTGGATTATGTGCTAGATAGACATCGAAGCGACTCTAGAAACCAAACACACATACATATATGCATGCATACTTAGACACATAGTTTCTGAAAAATAGCTAAGATCTGTTTCTGATTGAGGTCAAGTGTTTTAGGGTAGCTTTTCCTGGAAGGGAATAACCAATATAGTTGCATGTGACATTGGAGTTTTCCAAGTGTAATTATATGTTTTAACTCAGTTTGTAGCCACTCAATGAAGGAGTTTATTATCACCATTTTGTCAAAATGGAAACTGAGACTCAAAGAAGTTCAGAGAAATTTACATTCTCACACAGTGAGTAAAGTGTGGAGCCAAAGACTTCAAGCTATATCTCTGAATCTGAATTCTCAGCTTTTTATTGCTGTCGGCCCAGGGCCAGAGTGCAGTAAATTAAATCTAAACAGATAGGCACTTTGCTTTGCTGAACTTTAACATATATGAAATAGTAACTAACTAAATATATATATATATATATATATATATATATATACACACACACACACACATACATATATATGCATGTATGTATATATAATGGTAATTATATATACATTTATACATATATATTCATATATATATATTCATATATACATATACCACACATAATATATATATACATATATATAACACATAATAGTATATTCCTCTTGTTACTATTACTACTGTGCATAGACACCTATCTTTCTCAAAATTGTTAGTTTAATTTGTACCTTTGAACATAAACAAATTAATATACATGTGTGAAAGGGGGAATATAATTAGTCCCTCTGAAGATCTTTTCCTGTTACATAAGGCAGTTTAGCATTCTGCTCCCTAGGAAGTTTCTTCTGGATAAAATAAGGCCATGCAAATGCAAAGGTATAATTGGAGATATATATATCTCCAATATGAATATATATATATATATATATATATATATATATATATATATATATATATATATATTCATATTCACTTATGCTATTTTATGAAGGCCCTAAATCACCTTGCTCAGACCTCCATCAGAAAACTTAAGTCCCCTTCTTGGATTGCATAGGTCAGTTCAGAGTGGGCCTTAAACCTTGACTGTGGACAACATCAAATAAATTGACAACATTCACAGGAGATTCAAGAATCTCCAACTACTAATCATGCAGAAAATGAAATCTAAATTTCTTTGTTCCCTAAATATCTATTTTACTATTATTTTTTTCATAAAATTCTTATTGATGGAATACAGTAATTTATACTGTCCTTTCTTAGTATGATATGGAGAGACTGCTCTGTTCTATTCCACATGCTGAATGATGAATGACACGCCCCCAAATCATCAAGAACTCATTTCTATTTATTGTTTATCATCCTAAGTCGGGAACAGAGAAAATACATGCATATACATATGTGTATAATATATGTGTGTACACACACACACACACACATACATTTTTTAAATAAAAATATATTTTAAATATCCACAGATCCACAGTGATGGTCACCAGCCTCAAGAAAGAGAATTGAATCTTTGAACTCCATGAAATCAAGAGCTATATCTATCTTTTTCACCCCTGTTCTCCCAATGACCACAAGACTCTGTAGAATTATACTTTTCTATCAATACATTTGTTTATGTTCAAAGGTACAAATTAAACTCACAATTTTGAGAAAGATAGGTATCTATGTACAGTAGTAATAGTAAAAAGAGTAATATACTATTATGTTATATGCTTTGTACTATGTTTTATGTTCTTTACATATATTAGCTGACTCAAGATTCATAGTAATACATTTTGTAAATGAGGAAACCAAAGCCAGTTCAAGGGTAGGATATGAATTCAGGATAACATAAATCCATTTATTTAACTACATTATTATGTTGCATTTTCTCGAGTAAGTCTTAAAATTGCAACTCAATGCAACAGGTATGAATGCAGGTCTTGTTCTGCAAATCAAGAATATGGGCAAGATGTTACATAAATGGTTTTTCTGAAGTATTCTTTATAAAATGTATGAGATGACTAGCAGCTTCAAAAATATTTACAAGAATACTTATTCAATGCCTAGACATTTTTTATGCAAAGGATCCTGTCCAAATGGATGGTTCAGTTCCTTCTACCACATAACTTAAATGCTACACCAATTACTTAGGTGAGCAAAAATGAATCATGAATTTTTGTTTTCGTATTTTCTGCATGGCATGTATTTACTTTAGGGGCAATCATGGTGATGAAAAAGAGTAGGAAATGACAAAACTGTAATGGAGCCATGACTTGCAGTTCCTCACAGGTTTATCAGGAGATCAGGGAAACAATTCTGATTATTCCTAGTTCTTATATAATTCCATTTTTATGTGATGATGAAAAATAATCAAAGGCGTTCTTCAAAATATTCAGAATAGAAGCTATAGGCATACACACCGTGTTAAAGTTCTTACTGTCAAATCCACACATGATAAACAATGCATTGCTACAAAGGAGATCCATTAGCTCTCGGGAGCACACTTCAGTACCAAGAAATCCATAAAAGAAGTTGTGTGGGAGGAATATTCTGTTACCAAATATGATCTGAAAAACAAAAGCATCATTAGAGCATTGCAGAATTCAGGCTGCAAAATGACTCATTACCTAGTTGGGATTATACAAGTGGGATTAGGTTGATGATATTTTCTTACTTCTATAGGTTGTTTTGGAATATCTATACTTTCTCTCATTTAATTCCCATGATGAGGTTATAAAATGGACAGGGCTGATATCCACACTGGGTGTCTATTGGTATACTGAGAACTGTACTGGCTGCTCAGAGAAAGCAGATGATGTGAGTTACAATCTAGCTGGGGTATTAAGAGTTATGGGAAAAAAAACCATGAAACAACAATGTCAGACTGTTGTAATTATGTGACAAGATGTGCAATTTTAATAATAAGTCATGGAAAGAACAGGAGGGGAAATGATTACTCTGAGCCCTATTTTTTAGCAGAACCTTTGGAGATCTGTCCTAATTATTTTGAGGAAGGTGAACTTTTTGTTTTCTTCCTTTTATACATGAGGAAATATGAAGTTAATACATAGCAGCTTGGGCTAATTTGAACTACATTATACTTAGAATCCTTACCTAATTCTCTGACTTAAGATCTTAATGCCTTTTCTTTCTAAGTCACTTTGAAAAGTGCTATAAAAAAATCACTGCTATAAAAAAAAATCTGAGGGAAATAGGAAATAAACTCTGGGTCAATGCAGCAGTAAACACAATTAGGGTCATCACTACATTTTAGAGTTTGAATGAAAGGTTTATTAATGGATTTTGACTAGAGGTAAAGTCTCTTTGGCTTTAGACACACATATTAATACAGAGTAAAAAGAAATCAATAGTACATAGATGAATGGATAAAAAAATTGTGGTGTTTATATACATAATGGAACATTACTTAGCATTAAAAAAGAATAAAATTATGGCATTTGCAGTAAATGGATGGAGTTGGAGAATATCATGCTAAGTGAAGTAAGCCAATCCCAAAAAAAACAAAGTCCGAATGTTCTCTCTGATAAGTAGATGTTGATCCATAATGAGGGTTGGGGGGCATGGGAAGAATGGAGGAACTTTGGGCAAAGAGGAGGTGGAGAGGGGAGAGCATGGGGGCAGGAAAGATGGTGGAATGAGATGGGACATCATCACCCTAGGTACATGTATGACTGCACATATGGTGCGACACTACATTGTGTACAGAGAAATGAAAAGTTGTGCTCCATTTGTGTACAATGAATCAAAATGCATTCTGCTGTCATATATACCTAATTAGAATAAGTAAATAAATAAATATTATAAAAGAAATTAACAGTACAAAACCATAGAAGGACATAACATTATTACATTTCATAGCCTAAAACTAAATGATCCTAAAGGATATTTGTGTGTGTGTGTGTGTGTGTGTGTATGTGTGTGTTGGCTTCAATGATGGGAGAAGTAGGGTATCAAGTATTGGAAAAAGGAAAAAGATTATTAATTCTGTACAGCCTGTGCCTATTCAATAAGGCATTTAATTTTGTGCTTTATTGACATCCATACTATTGCCCTATGAAATCTCCATTTGGAGTTGAAGGAGCTTGTAGGAAAAGAGCTCTTAAGAAAGCCAAGACTATTTGATTAAGGGTCTCAGTATATTTTCTTGACTCAATCATTGATTTCTTTCCCCTCTTTCTCCTTTTCCTCTTTTCTTTACTTTTTTACCTCTTCCAGGTTAACATGGCCCTGATGGGTTAAGCTTCTGATTTGACTATTTTTCTTCAATTTTATGCCCCATTCCCTGCTACAGGAGTGGAATGGCAGCCTTCACACACCTATGTAGAGTGCTTGATAAATGAACTATCGTTGAGAAAGCCAAAACATTTATAGGCTTGGGCTAATCAGTCTAATCAAGAATAAAGAAATCAATAGGGGATCTCACAGGCTGGAGAGGGGATCCAGCCATGACACATGCTATGCAAGGAACAATATAAACGTGTACAGTTCCATTTTGGGATATGAACACATTTGTCCTGCAGGTGTGCTGCTCCTTCCGTCACTTCGGAGTCCATGGGTAATTGGCCACCTCAAGGTCAATGAACTAAAGAGAATCACTTACCTTGAAGAGGGGTGATGGAATAAGTGAAAGTTTTGTTAAAAGGCTTGTTGCGTACTTCACAGTGGCAACTGGAGCTAATGCATAAAAGGTTTTGATTCTTCTAGCCAGTGTGGGATTGGTAGAAAAGGCAATAAAACCTGAAATAGAACAAGGAACATGTGAAGAAAGGATGTGTGTTATGTTTTGTTTTTACAAGTATGACATCATCTTGCTCATAGTAAAGGTGGCATCTGACACAAGCTGAGAAATTGGCACTTCTGCTTGCTCAGATATTAACGAGCATGGTAATAGCAATTTAAAGTCTGCTAGTGGAAATAAAAGGATGGAAACATTCAAAATTCAAATAACTTAAAAGAGTAGTAGATTGGGGTTTTGGGGGTATCAGGAGAAGCAGCCCATTTACCTCAATATGTTCTAAGAAAACTGATGTATTGCATCTTGATGCAATAATTTTATAACCCCAGATCATCAAGAAAGGGTTAAACTGTGTTCAATATGTGCCAGTAAAAGAGAGGAGTGTGTCATAGGAGTGTAGTTTTCCATCCAGAAATGGATGTATGTACAGTTTTAGAAATTTAAAGGTATAAATTTTAGTAACCTAGAAAATGTCCTGCTTTTTAATAAAGGGTTTTGAGTGGAATTGAATGTATACCACTGGTGCTGTGCTATCTAGACTGAGGCAGTTCCTTAATCCTAGCTACAGAGAAAAGCGTGACCAACAGTCCCATATGTGAGTTCCCTTTGCTATTGCTTATGTTGAGGAGATCAGCTTCACTAAAGGTAACAGGCCCCCTTCCTGGGGGCATCCTGCATCGGACAACTGGTCAAGAAGTAGTTAAAAAGGCCAGGTCCCCTGGCCCCACTGGGGAAGACTCTTAAGGGACTATTTTGCAGCCCAGCCTCTCTTTCTGACCATGCTTGCTTTTTGCCCTCTACCCTAAAAGTGTTTCTAAGAAACTTCCTGAAGGAAGTTTCTAAGAAACTTACCCTCATCTTCTTGGGAACCGGACCTAGTATACAAGAACAAACACATTGGGAAGCTCTACATCACTGACTTTCTCCTCTAAAATTTGAGGTCAATTCTTTAGATTGAACAAGCTGCTGGAGGAGAACTTTTTACAAGCTTCTACCACCTATTTCATCCACTTATCTGCCTATGTGTCCATGGGAATTGTGGAGGAAGGAAGGTTATCAGGTGAGAGTGAGGGGCAGCATAAAAATGTGCCACGATTTCTCCCACATGACCTCCTTTTCCCCCTCCGACTTCCACGCTATTGTTCCTTTATACCTTCTCTCATACTCTCTTGAACTCACTTCATTATACTTTCACTCTAACCACTCCACCAGAACTGCTCTTCCAAAAGTCTCTTGTAACTTCTAGGCTGCTATATCCAATGGTTCATTCTTGGGCTTTATTTTCACTTGACTTATCAGTAGTCTTTTCCACAGTTGACCACATTCTCCTTAAAACACTTTTTTCCCTTGGCTACCAGAATAATGGATACTTTTGTTTCCCTGATACCATTGTCATCTTTTCACTATATTTTAATTTCTTCATTCGTTTCTTACTCATCTTCTAAATTGTGGAGTAGTCCAGGGCTTATCCTAGGACCTCTCCTCTTTCCTGCCTAAACTTATGGTATTACATTCTGTGGCACATCCCGATGACACCTGTTTTGTATTTTTAGCCCAGTCTTCTCCCATAAATTCCAGATCTGTTATATAATTGACTTCTTGACACCTCTACTTGAATCTCCAATGAGCACCTAAGGGTGTTTCAAAACTGAGCTCCTGCTCCCCTTACATCAGCTCTCTTCATAGCTTTCCCCATCTAGGTTAGTGGCATCCCCATCATTCCATGTGCTCAGGCACAAAGTCCACCATCATGCCGACTCCTTTTTTATTTATTATTTCTTACATACATCACAATGTGAATTTGGTGTCAACATACCTTATATACAAACAGAGATTTGATAAATTGTGGTAGAAAGGTGTATTAAGGATTGCAATGCAAAAGAATCATGAATGTAATGTACTCATTTTTTTTTTCTTTTTTTACTCTTATGCCTGATATCCAATATATCAGCAAATCCTGTGGGCTCCATCTCCAAAATGTATCTAAAAGATATATCTAGAACCTGGCCATATGTGTTTACTTCCACAGCTACCCTCACCTCCAGTCACCAGCATAAATTATTATAAGTCAGCATAACCTCCAGCATGAATTATTTTAGGAGTCCTCTATGTGGTTCTCTGTTCCTTCTTATGTTCCCCTTCAGCAACCAGAGGGATCTTATTACAGGTCATGTAGCTCCTCTATTCAAAATTTGTCCATGATTTCCTTTTTCACTCAGCATGAAAACTGATATCCTGTTCATCCTGAACAGAATGCCCTCCCCAAACTTTGTAATCTTGTGTCACTCTCCCCATCTCTCTGTCTCTCTCAGGCTGATTCAGCCACAGGAGGAACTGCGTCACTCCTATTCCTTGAACATACTGAGTGTGCTCAAGCTTCAGATTCTGTACACCCTCTGCTCTGTCTTCCTGGAACATCAGCCAGCCAGGTATGCACATGAATTGCTTCCTGACCTCCTGCATGTGTTTACCCAGATAATTTTTTTTTTGTGCATGTGTTCACTTTCAAAAATTGCTCTGAAACCCTCTGACACTCCCTAATATCCTTCCCTATCAAAATTGCTTTGAAACCCTCTAATACTCCCTAATATCCTTCCCCAATTAATTTTTCCCATAGCATTATTATTGCTTAGTACATTGTATATTTTACATTCTAATCTTTGTTATTTTCTCTGCCTCCTCCCACTAGAGTATAGAGGATGTGAAGGCAGAGATTTAATCTATTTAATTTATTGTTGTGTTCTTTGACATTCCTTAGGCCAATTCATTCTTCATAAATATGATTGAAGAAACAAAATAAATTCAGCCTAGAGGCTGAAAGATGCTGACGTGAGAGATTGCCTGAGCTGATACTTGAGCCACCCTACTGAACCTATTGGTAACAACTAATTGTTAGCTTGTACAATTTACCCCCTTAGATTTATTTTTACCCGTCTATTGTCCCTGTATCATTAAGTTGTCATAGTACTGATTTTTATAGTGAATGGAAAGCAGTCAATGTGGTTATGCTGCCATAACCACAGAGAAAGGGTCTATGGTATAAGAACTAAATTATCTGGTCCCAGTGCCTTTACTTACCAATGGTGGTACCCTGAGAATGACCAACATAGTGTATCTTCTCCTGCCCAGTTTTCTTTACAATGAAGTCAATTGTGGCTGGAAGGTCATATTTAGCCATTTCATCAAAACTGCAAGACAGAAAAAAAAAAGACAAAAAAATCTGAATATATTTTCTTGTTAGAGTTTTTAAAATTCAAGCATGTTCTTAGATAAGGTTCTATTTCTGTTAGAGAAATAGAAAAACTAGATTCTCTAAATATTGCAGCTTAAAAACCCTTAGCAAGGGCCAGGTGCCCTTTGGGGTAGTTTCTTATAAACAACTTATACCATTTATAAAGTACAACACTATTGCTATAATCTAATTCAAACAAGAGAGTAACTGTAGGTGGGAATTATTTCCATCCCTGAAATAGAATGTTAGATTTAATAAGCATCTGTATGCTGTGTTCCAGTGCCATTTAATATGAATCCTATCCCTCTCTATTTTATTCTTCACAACTCAGCCAGAATGACACTTTGAAAATAAAAACTCCCAGTTTAAAACTTTTCAGTGACTTCTCATTGCATTTAGAATGAGTTGCAGCACCTTCACCATCATCTACATAGCCCTGCCTGAGCTGACGCTTATCAGCATCTCTAGTCTTCTCTTACGTCACTTGCCCTCTTCCTCATTCCACCTGGGACACAAGTGTTTTCCTTTAGCTCCTAAAACTCCTAGAGCACTTTTGTTCCCCTAGCATCATCAGCCGAATTATCTTGTTCTCTTTCTCCCTCAGTAATTTCCAGGAATAAGGTACAAGAAGGTTAGTGATAGGAAACCTTTGAAAATCTCTCCATGTTGACTGAATTTTGTTCTTCATAATGATGCAAGTTGAATCCCCAAACAGGTTCTAATGTCCCCAGAATCCATATGGATATTCCCTTTGAAATTTGCCAGGGGCAGTGAATTCCCTTGCTTCAGCAATATTGTTTATTACACTTGGAAAAGCATATTCAGGAATCCCTACATAGTGAGTAACTGAGATCACAGAAAGTTTGAACAAAAAGCTATTTTTGAAATGAGGTGTATGGAAGCATTTAAGAAAGGATATGAGTAAAAATGTCTTCCTTCCCTTCTTACTTGGAGCGTGATTTGTTAAGATGGGACTGAATTGGAAAGAAAGATGTCTATACTTTTAAATCCCAATGATTGTTTTTTAACACAGATGTCTTTATGATTTGTTTTATTTATTAACAGTACAACATTTTCATGCATTCTGAAATTTCACAATGTTTGATTCAGTTTAGATCAAATTATTCAAGCCCACATGAGCGAGAACGAAGTGAGATTACCTTTCTAAAGCCCAAATATTATTCTTTTTAAAATTTTTTTTAGTTGTTGATAGACCTTTATTTATTTGTATGCAGTGCTGAGAATCGAACCCAGTGCCTCACACATGCCAGGCAAGTGCGCTACTGCTGAGCCACAGCCCAAGCCCCCAATGATTATTCTTAACAGCTCATTTTTATTGTCCATTTTCTTTACCTGAAAGCCCAGAATTCAACTGAGTCTGGTGAATAGTACAAATTTCTCCTGGACCAGGTATTTCCTCTGCTGTTGCCCAACCACACGTCATAACCAGCGTCTGCCAGAATGAAGGCAAGGCTGTTGTTGGGCAGGTTTGCAATCCAGTTTGTGGCTGATGCAAGCAAACCATGCTGCAGAAACACCACAGGTCTGTGGCCTAAAGAATACAATTATTTTAAAACATTATAAACTTACTCTTTTTTCTAAGATAAATGTGTGAATGGAATTAAACACGTTTGTTTGAGTTGAATATATTTGAATATGTTATCTTAATCATCTTTTCTCAGGTGGTTGGTTTCTCAGATGCCAAAGCTTACCAAATATTTACTTAAAATATGTGTATCCCATGGTACACCAACTGGACTTCAAGAAAGCTATTAATTATATTTGCAATAAATTCAGCACTAGGTTGATTTAGGTGGACTATAAATAGTAAAGTTATGGGGGGTAGTCTTTAAAATTTTTATATAATTTTTATACTACATAAATTTCCTACAGTGAAAAAAAGATAAAATTTTAATAGTACCAGCAAATATGGCCTGTATTTGGAAAATAGGTTTCAAATGGCTTCCACATCCTCTCCTCTACAACACACCCTGGATAACTTTTTTTTGATCCTATAGGATGGAGGTCAGTTACTATCTCTGAGAGCAACTTTCCTTAGACATCTTCATCAAGACTTCCAGTTTAATAGCCTGTGCACAGTCGTAGCTTTGGACTTAACACATTTCATTATAATCATTTGTTTATTTATCCATCTCATTGACTAAATGGTGATCTCCTCGAGAATCAAAAAATATGGATGAATTTTTGTTGTATTTCCAAAATGAGCAAGATTTATGAAATCCTTAGAAAGAAATGAAAGGAGAAACAGATGGAAGGAATGTGGGGGGAAGGATGGAGGAGGGGGAAAAGGAGAGGCAAGAAGGGAGGAGGGAAGAGGAAAAGGGAAAGATGGGAAATGGAAGGAAGGGAAGAAGGTTATACCTTTGTTCTCTGAGTTTTTCTTTCCATAAGGAATTCTGAAGATCCCAAGGATATAACCGTCTTCAGTCACAACTTCATATTCTTCACTTGGGTATCCCCAGTAGGAAATCATTTGATTCTGATGAGGAAGACCAAAGTTTTAGCTGGCTTTGGAAATATATCTAATGACTAGATAATGTTAATTATTTTAACTGCTCACTTAAAAATTTAAACCCACTGTGATTCTAAATCACATTAATATCTCTTAACTTTTATAGATAGCCATCCCCCTACCCCGCCTCTGGTTAACTTACAATATTCATGTGGGCTTCAGGGCTCTCAGGTGCTACTTTTCCTAAGAAACCATGCGTAGTTCCAAATGCAGATACCAAACTTGCCACTGCTAAAAGCGACCACATTTTGAACTGTCCAGAAACAAAAGAATGGCCTGTGCTATGGTTATCCCATTATACTTTCATAATACTCATATTTTGTGACAATATTACCAATATGAAAAGTAGAGAAATGTTTGAGGTTGATTATATTCTCTTGGGCAATAAACTGGGACATGTGGATGTCAGTACAGTCATCTTAATGTTTAAAATGTTTTCACCCTAATTTCATTTGTTTAAGAACGCTTCTCATTTAAATTTCAAGTCTTCTTGAAGGAAGTTAGATGGCAAAAACAAAACCTCCAAGTGTTCATATTCTTATTATGCCATATGTTTAAGATTTTTGCCAACTGATTTGAGAACTCAGTGTGGGAGTGAGAGTTGTATAGGCATTTGATGTCCTTATATTTAACCTCAATATAATATGCACGCAAACTTACCATGACATTATTAAAAAGTATTCTTTATAATAGTGACTACGTAACAATTTATTGACTTAATGTTATTATATGGATTTAAAAGCTGCCATCACCTCAAAATGCCACCCATAAACAGAATAATGTGTGAATATGATTTTAAGAAATCTATTGCTCTTTTAATTTTTGTTGTTGTTGTTTTGTTTTGCAATGCAGGAAATCAAACCCATGGCCTAATGCATGCTAGGTCAGTGTTCTACCTCTGAACTAGAGAAACAGTCCTACTGTTTTAATTTTTTTCTTGGAGATTTTATTTCATTAAAATTATGTAGATCATGAAAATTATAAATCAGCAATGTGTTGTATGATCCAATACCTTCACAAGTATTTAACAACAAAAAGGAAAATCAGTATCACTATATTAAAATAATTCAGGAGGCTTTTCTAATTTAACCTTTCATGTTTTGCTGTAGAAAAATAGCAATCCACTTCTTAGATGACAAATAATTTCAAGTAGACTGAATTAGTTTTACTATTTAAATGATTGGTCTTTCCACTTAATTGTGTATCAAAATTGTTAGGCTTTTTGTAATTGGAAAGCAATACAGGCCAGAAACGAAATGGACCTATTTTAAAATGAAGGAAATGTTTTTAGTTGAAAATAGCCCAATGGATGATCCTACTAGATTTAACCCCTCAAAAACTGAGTAGGCTACAGTTCAAAGTGACTTGTCAGTTTTAAAACTTATCATCCTTGGCTGTCAACATGTGGTCCTTGAGGCAACTACTCTTGGATAATGACTAGGAATTCCATATACACTCAAAATTACTAGAATTGAACAAGTGTATTTTATAGTTTTTGCATTTTGATTAAAATTTTAGTTTACAAATTTTCTTTTTTCAAAGGAACATTTCAGTAGGACTCTACCTTTTGATCTTGTGATAATTGTCTCTTGTTTCTCAATACAGAAAATATTTGACATTGGACTCAGAAGATCTAAACTTCCTTCTATAAATTTGAGAATCTCCAGATACTAAACTGTGAAAAATCCCCAAGGGAGAACTGCTATTTGTTCTCAAAAAATTGAAAGGATACTATGGAGATAGCTTTAAATCAAATCCTTTAGTGTATGTGTGAGGTAAATCACACAATAATTATTTATTGAATAACTAATGCATGTTAGAAGCAATATTTAGCCGTCACATGTAGAAAATTTTTAATTGCTTTTGGTGAAGAATTTGTAAAATTTGTATCACTGTATTCAAGTGAGGTTCTTTGGAAAGGGATAACTTCTCAGTTGCTGACAATATTTCAACAAAGGCTATAAAACCATTTGTCATAGTTCACTTAGCATAGTTCCTGACTTACAGAAAAGCCAGAATAAAACTCTCAAGGTCTAAATCTGACCCTCCTGGCTAACTTAGTAATAGAAATTATATTTATTGGCAACTCTTAATTATTTTTTAACCAGACCTTGTCTTTACAATGAAATTTTAGCAAGGGACACACTAGTATACAACCAGCAGTGTTTTCACATTCAAACCAGAAAGTTTGATCCAACTTTTCAGAAACCCTCTGTTTTATTCCCTCGATAACCTTCCTCAAGTAATTTATTACTGTAAAGTAAAGACATTTAACCTATGGTTTGAGTTATAGGACACTCCAAAAATCCAAGTCAGCAGCACAGGCTCAGAAATGTTCAGGGACAGAATAAATGCCTCAAAGTACCTGTCACCAAGTTTTAAAATAAGAGTAATAACTAACTTCTATAGAGGACTCTCCATATGCTGGAGTGTGTACTCAACATGTAACATGTATAAGTGAGTTATCTTCACTAAAATGTTTCCTACTTCTATAATCTAAGGTAACAATAGTGCATTTCTTGATGTTATGAGCATTCATTATATAAAGAATGTAAAGTTTTCAATATGTTTGGCATCTAGTAGGTATTTGATAAATATAGTTATTATTACTTTCATCTCACTTAATTTTTATAACAACCCTATTAAGTAGGTAGCATTGTATTCCCTATTTTGCAGATAAGCAAAGCAAGGCCAGAAAAGAACTTGCCCAATAAATCTGCAGAAAGTAGTATGCCTATATTTGAAATGAGGTTATCTCTTTTAAAGATTATATTTTTCTCCACTATAATGCTTCTTTAGGATGACTATATGCCACCTTCTATAAGGAACTACTTGCCACAGCCACAGAAAGATTTACACAAATTTTTCCAAACTTCTGTTTTAGCTGGGCATTGTGGTGCATGCTTGTAATCCCAGGGGCTTGGGAGGCTGAGGCAGGAGGATCTAGAGTTCAAAGCCAGCCTCAAAACAGTAAGGCACTAAGCAACTCAGTGAGGCTCTGTCTCTAAATAAAATACAAAAAAAAAGGGCTGGGGATGTGGCTCAGTGGTAGAATGCCACTGAGTTCAATCTCCGGTACCAAAACAAAACAAAACAAACTTCCGTTTTGAGAAGTTTTAAATTTGAAGAAGTGTATGTAGACTATGAAGTACGCTATGAAGTTTAACTCAACCACAGTTAATTTGAATGATATTAAATTATATGATATAGCATGTTTATAAAGTCAATTCATATAACACTAGAGGACCAGCTTCTCAAAAGGGAGAATGAGAGAAAAGACTTTAACATTAACACTTGTTACAATAGTGAAAAAATTTGTTATTCATAACAAAAGTCAAGAATTTCATGTACTTTCAAAGCAAATCAAATCCTAGAGGAATAAGCCATAATTCAGATAAACACATTTATATAGGTGAATACAAGAGCTATTAAAGTCTTTTAAACCTGCAATCGTTGGGTTAAAGAAACAAATGAATCTAGAATTCAGATCATTTTGCACAGCAGAAGTTGTACTTACAGTCTCCTCAAAAACAGAACTAGGTTTCTGAATGGTCAGTATTTGAGTTAATGGTACATTTGCCTTTTATATATAAAAACTTCAACAATGGCCAGAATTAGTCATCCTCTGATTAAATTACCACGAATTCTTAATATCTGGACATCATTTTACATTGGAAGGGCAAACCTAAAAATCAAATATTGCATTCAAGTTCATATGAGTTATCACCTTTAACTTTTAACAAAAGCAAATATTGAGCAAAGGAACTTTGATGATTAAAAATGATTTAGGAAACATTAAGATTGATAGATAGCTTAACCATATAAAACTATTAAATCAAAGATATGACACAATTATTAAGTTTGGTTCAGATAAAGAGGATTAAGATGGTAAAAGGCTCTAACTCCTGTGCTTCTGAACAATGCAACACAAGCTATTTTGACCATATGATGAGATAATGAATGTGATCAACATAGATTAATGCTTTTTATGGTCTTTGGCCTGGGTCTATTACCCTCCAGATATTGATATCCAAAACCCAGTCCCTGGCTTTTCATAACTCATGAATGGTACCATTTTTAAAAATGCAAAATCTACTTGATGTAGTTTCAACAATGTGAATGTGTTTATAAATAGATTTTACAATTCAAGATTTTTATTTAAAAATGTAGTCAAGTTTTTACAACTACCATGAACATCTGTGGCTGGTGGTAAAAGAAAAACAAAATCATACTTTGATTTGTTAAAATCATTTGCAATTTTTTTAGGAATCTCTATTTGCTTATTAGTATGTATATGCCTAGCAGAAATAGTGAACAAATATTTTTTATTGTTCTTCTTTGTTAAATCTGACAGTAGAATCCATTTTGATAAAATTATACAAGCATGGGACATATCTTATTTTAATTAGGACCCCATTCTGGTGGGTGGGCACAATCGTGGGATTCACTCAGGTATTTTCATATGTGTGTATAGGAAAATTATATTAAATTTATTCTACTATCTTTCCTATTCCTGTCCCCCTTCCTGTCTTTTCTTTCCCCTTTGTGTAATCTACTGAACTTCTCTTCTTGCCTTTATTGTGGTTTAGCTTCCACAAATCAGCAAAAACTTTTAACCTTTGGTTTTGGGGGATTGTCTTATTTCACTTAGCATAATAGTTTCTAGATCCATCCATTTACCTGCAAATGTCATAAAGTCATTCTTTTTTGGTGGCTGAATAATAGTCTATTATGTATATATACCACAATTTCTTTATCCATTCATCTGTTGATGGGCATCTAGATTGGCTCCATAGCTTTGCTATTGTGAATTGTGCTGCTATAAAATTTGATGTGGTTGCATCACTGCAGTATGCTGATTTAAAATCCTTTGGATATACACTGAGGAGTGGAATAACTAGGTCACATACTGGTTTCATCCCTAATTTTTTGAGGAATTTCCATACTGCTTTCCAGAAGGGTTGCCCCAATTTGCAGTCCCACCAACAATGTAAGAGCATTCCCTTTACCCCATGCTCTCACCAACATTTGTATTACTTGTACTCTTGATAATTGCCATTCTGACTATATCGAAATGAAATCTTAGTGTAGTTTTGATTTTCATTTCTCTAATTGCTAGAGATATCGAACATTTATTCATATATTTGTTGACCATTTATATTTCTTCTTCTGTGAAGTGCCTGTTCAGTTCCTTTGATCATTTAATTGGTTGGGTTATTTGGGGGTTTTTGGTGTTAAACTTTTTTGA